TACATCTTGTATTTGTATTTCTAACAGGATTAATTTGGCTCAAAACTCAGAAAATGAAAGATCATGTTATTTTCTTCACAAAAAGGAACAAAAATTGGTACAAGTGAAGTCATACTCAATAGGATGTTGACACATTTTTGAGAGGCTTTTGCTTCCTTCAAAATCACTAGAGATTTACATACACTAAAAATCTTATATTGGTAGGCAAAAAATATCTATGACCTTACTATTTTTCTTTAATGACAGAAAAAAAAATGCTCTCTACTCATGGATTATGTATAGCTTAGACTATGAAGACTCTAATCAAAATTGTCCAGGTTAAATGACATTCCTGTCATTATTGCAGATTTGCTCGAGGAATACATCACTTCTGAGCCTCAGTATTCAATTTTGAGGGATGGAGGTAAAAAAATCACACTACATCAACCAGTTGTTGGAGATCAGGTGATACCTACATTGCAGAGTGTGGCACACTAAGTGATACTTGACAAATGCTTTATAATATAATGCATTTTCAGTATAATTTTGTTCATCATTCATGTTTAATGTATTCATTCATTAAGATAAATACATTTAACTCAATGTAAAGAAAATTAGGTTAAGCAAAGAAATTGTCAGGAGAACAATGTCAAAGGCAAGTTGTATCATTTGGAGGCTTTCTTACTCTATCATTTATGTGATCAGCATGGGGTTTGAAAGAAACAGGAGATTGTTGTAACACTTGGGTCCAGGCGGAAAGAACAATTTCAAGCTCTTTCTGTTTGCTTGCCCATTATTCTTGACCCACCTCACACAGAGCTCCCAGAACAGTTGCCAACAGGCAAAGATGGGCTTGCCAACCATCTGCAGAGAGGAAGACATCACAAGCCTTTTAGGGCGGGATCCACTTCCTCTTTCTCTGTGCTATCCTCTCTGGCCACTCACCTGACATTTCTTGTCACTCACTCAACTTTGCTGAACAAATATTGATGTGCTGATACTTTGTCCCCTGTCCCTCACCACCAATGTATTACCAATGCTTTGAGTTAGCTTCAGCTACATTTTGAATTAGTTCCTCATTTACAGTTAAGACTCTGGGATGATCTCCTCAAAGAAGCATGCTAGGTACATATGAGATCCCACTAATTGGTCCCTTCTGGATTTTCCCATCACAACTAAGCTCTGCCTCATTCTACATTGGCATTAAAGCTGAAATTGGAGCCGTTTTATTAAAAAAAAAAATTGAAAATGGTGGCGCATGGCTGTAATCCCAGCAGCTTGGAGGTGAAGGCAGAGGCAGAGTGGAGACATCGCTGTATGTTAAGAACCATCCTGGGCTACATAATGACCTAGACTGCAGTGGGAGACGTGGTTTTTAAACCCTCCTTGATCGAAGCTATACATGTTGAACACAGTGATGATGCCTCCTTTACGTGCTAACCACAGGATGTGGTATACCCACCAGTTCACCATAGCTGCTTTGTGCCTATTGCAAAACACAATTTCTTTCCATCAGTTTCTAAACTCCCATGTTGGTTATCTGATAAATAACTAAAGTTAACTTGTAATGAGTCAGAAATGCACAAATATACTATATATATATATATATATATATATATATATATATATATATATATATATATATATATATATTACCTTAGTTGCTTGTCAAATGGTAAGAGCAGATGACCCTCTCTGCCACATCAAGTAGGCAGGTGTTTAAAGTTTGGCACCTCCAGTGATGCAGAACTGATTTCCACTCAGTTTTGTACAATAAAAAGATATATAATTGCATAAGAGAAGAACACTACTAAGAAGTCACGGGTGTCTAATGACTTAAGATCCAAAAAGTTACACTTTTCTGGGTTTAATCCAGATTCTGAAATCTTGGGCTAGCTTCTATACAGTTCCGTCACCAGTAAGATCCAGTAGAGAAGGTGGATGTGTTACTGCCTGCCCAAGTGCTTTCTGCAACTGACAGACTGAAATCCTTAGACAGCATTTTGCAATCCTTGACATCCTTTTGGCTAGACAAAACAAGCCCAGAATAAAACTCTGACCCACTTACCCAACTTTCTATGGGACATGTGCACTGGGATTCTGGCAGAATGCCATCACATGCAAAAACCTAGGTCTTAGTATTAATCCACATGCCCTAAACCTACTCAGCTGCTTCTGGAACCTGCTCCATCTCTGTCATTAAAACTCTGTTTTCTTGGTAATCTGGTTCTTACTATCATTGTCTAGCTCATGAGAAAATCACATTGGCACGTGCACTTGAGTGTACACACACACACACACACACACACACACACACACACACACACACACGTCTTGTTGCTCATCACCTTCAATGAAGTACGTTTCCACAGGTAACTTTAACTTAGATTACTGTAATAACTCCCAAATTACAGTCTTCCTTTTGCCTTTGATCCTCAAATTTTATTCCTAATATACCAGCCAGAATAAGCCTGCTACAAACTAAGCCAGGCTGTATCACCTCTGCTCAATGGCTTGTCTTAAAGGGCCTTCCTGATCTGTCTATCCTTCTGCTCCAGCCCTTGGCAAAGTCCCAACCTCATCCCATGGCCAAGCCTTCCTCCTGCTTACTGCTTTCCCCAGTGTGCACACCAGGCACACTCCCCCACCCATCCATCCCCCACCCCCGCTGTGCCTTTGGACTCCCCTTTCTTCTGTCAGAACACCCTTTCCCTAACACCCATACGGCTAGCTGGCTCACTACTCCAGGAAAGACTCAAAAATCACCTCCTGATTAGAACCTTCCTTAGCCACTTCATTGAAAGTGTTTTTTTGTTTTTGTTTTTTTAAATAATTTTCTGTCCTTTCTATTTGAGAGGAGGTTAGAGATTTCAGGATAATCTCCAGAGACTGAACCAGTGGTGGCACAGAAGAGATACATGGTGAAGAACTGTGAAATTAGTTCCTAACGTATGTCACTACCCTCTATTGATACTTCTAGTTGTCAGGGACAGATCTCTCAATTCACAGCTCTGCTGAGACAAAATCTACTTAGTAATCTCAATGTATCTGTGATCTTTCAATAAGCAGACCAGGTGACTCCCAACTGTATGACACCTGGAATGGTTTCAGACACAGGGCATCGCACACAGAGTATGAAAGCTCTGATATCTGTCAGCGCACACATACCACAGTCTCTCTCCTATATTTCTCTTGGGCCACGGGTCTCTATTTTCTAAATAGAACATGGAATCTTATCCAAATCCAATGTTCAAACATTCTGACAGGATAATTCTGAACTCAAAACCACCAGTATCAATTTGCATGAAGAAATCTTTAAATGAATATTTTAACATGTATGTTAAACAAATGAATTCAAACATTTAAAATGTTCATTGCCACTCTAAAATTAAGACTCTTCAGTGGCACATTGAATATTTTTTTTTCTCACTAGGTAACAAAAATGAGATATGGCCACAAAATAAGAGGAACAGATGGGAGAGAAGGGGCTGGTCAAATGGAGCACTCTTCCTGGCCAGAGAAACAGAGAAGTGTCCTCACCTCTAACCAACAGAAACTTGAATGCTTATATACCACCACCAGCACCACCACCACCACCAACTGCAGCAACAGCAGCAGCAAAGACTTTGAAAAACTCTTCGCAGACATCAAAGCATAAACCACTTTCAAAATTTACTCACTTTTTTCTAGAGTCAACGATACAAGGGACAGTTCTTCGTTAATCGTATTTCCATTCCCTAAACATTTCCTCAAGATCCCACACATTCGGCTACCTGGCCACACCCTCTGACCCTCCCCCCTAAACAAACAAGCAAACAACAACAACAACAAAACCACTCTTATGTCATCAAGTAAACACAGAAACGAAATGGTCTTTAGTAGTCTGGACCGGGCCTCCTTGACTCTCCTCCACAGTAGCTGGGGTGGGTGAGTGATGTCCCAGGGTTTTAGTCTCCTATGACCACTTCTCTGCTTGTTTCGAAGGCTGCTCTTCAAACTAATGGCTACATTAGAGATATTTGGGCATTAATGATGGCCTACCTCCAAAATGCCGCTCTCCAGGCAACACAGTGAGAACGATTATTTTCAGTTCTGTAAACGCACCTCGCACAATTCAGCAGGCAGCATATCCCAGCCTGCATCCCGCTAAGCTAGGCTAGTCCATGCTGGCAATTACTGTGTTTGAATTAAAGATGCCCCTGGCCACCTGCCCTGTGCCTGCAACAGTTCCCTTTTTTTTTATTCTATTTATCTTCACAGTCATCTATTTGTGTCAAGAAAAGAAACATATGAGCACAGCATCTGTTACTAGAGTCACAAAATTACCAAATACTTCCAAAAGGGAAGAAATAGGCAATAAATCCAGATTACTTGTCAGGTGTTTAAGGAGAGAGCTTTAGTCTTTCAATCACAGTGTCTTGTTTAAGCTGAGCATATGTTGCTAACAGCAGAGTCGCCCAGCTCACCCTAGTCTTTGATGCGGACAGGCACCAGAGAAATGTCACCTCTTCTGAACTGGCAGGGGAAAGCAGCACCCCCCACCCCCGCCCCGCACAAGCCTATAATGAAATAGGTAACACCTTGAAGACACTTCCCTATTGGTTACTTTACTCTGCTTGATGAAACCTATGTAAGTTGAGAGTCTGATTTGGGGAAAAATCTAACTTTTTCTGGCAACTAGCTCTGATCATACCCACTGCTATAGTTACTGGATTTCTCTCTGGATGCAAGCAACAGGTCTATGTGGCCCTACTAAATTAACCTTATTGCTCGGTTTAAGTCTTCAGACTCCTGGGAGGGAAGAGGGAAGACAGGAGGGTGTTAGAGGCGGGAGAGACCACATGACACCTAAAGAAGGATGCTGACTGACAGTCTTTCCAGACAAGCCCTGGCATCCCCCGACAGCCTCAGAATCTGAAAACTGGCCCCGAGGCATGCCCAGACCTGCTGCTTGGATCCAGCACCCCTAGTCCCCCATCATGCGCCCAGGTGAGCTGCGCCAAGGGCGCCAACTCCCTTACCTGCCAGGCTGCCCGGCCTCTGGAGGGTGGCCGTGGCATACAGTTCCTGCGAATGCTTGCTGTACTGCTCGGACGCGTGGACCAGGCGCTTGGTGGGCGACAGGGTGGCGTAGGTGCCGATGGTGGAGCTCAGCTGGTGGATGGGCGAAGAGGAGATGGTGGACTGCACGGTGGGGGGCGAGGTCACGCGGATCGGGGACAGGCCGGCCGAGGACACGACGATGTTGATGGGCGAGCTGGTGCTGTAGGACTTGGCCAGGCGGCTGGGCGACTGCTTGGGCGAGGAGCCTCGCGGCGCGGCGTAGGCGGCACCCTCGGGGGCCGAGCCTCCGCGCTGCAGCTTGGTGGGCGAGCCGCCCTGCGTGGTGGTCAGCGGGGAGCCCCCGCGCGGCGGCGCTGGCAGAGTGGAGCTGGAGTAGTAGAGCGCGGCGGCGGCGGGCGGCGCGTCGGGCAGGTGGAAGGCGCTGCCCAGGCTGGGCGCGAACGGCTCCCGCGGAGGCGGAGGCGGCGGGGCAGGCTCGGACCCCGTCAGGTGCCCCGCGCGGCCGGTCGTGCCCTGTGCCGGGGAGAGCAGAGAACACGCGCGCTCAGTGGTGGAGAAGCAGCCGCCCACCCGCCCCGCCCGGCTGCAAAGGACAACTTCTGCGCCCAGAGCCCCGGGAGCCCAGGCAGCGAGAGGAGAGGGATGCGAACTCACACCCCAGTCCGTTCCCAGCCAGGCTCCTTTCCAAGGAGAAAGGAGAGGGCTAGCAAAGGCAGGCTGACAACGGGGCGAGAGGCATGCCTCTGCTCAGCGTTCCAAGAGGTTTTAGTCACAGAAAAAAAATTTTAAAGGCCACCCAACCGGTGATCTCCCAGAACGCCCTCCCTATCTGGCAGTTTTAATGAAAACTCCACGCTCCCATTATTTCAGGAGACACACTTTCGGCTACCAAAAACTGACCGCATTGTATACTTAGATGGAGGATGCAAGAGATGTACTTCTTAGAATTAATTCTGCTGCTTTGCCGCTAAGACTCTTTCTGTGGGCAAGAGTTAAACAGAGGGAGAAATGCTACCTCACAAGAGTAAGCTTGGCTTTCAGTATTAAAAAAAAAAAAAAAATCCAGAGGAAGCAGATCAATTAAAATTGAAATGACAAAAAGCACTTCTCTTTTCTGGATTTTCAAAGTGTACTCTAGATGGCTCAGTATATCTCTCTGGTAGGCTCCTAGGAGCCCCCTACAGTTGTGTCTTCCAACTGAAAGTCAGTTGCTTTCCTTTACTTAGAAGAACACAAAAGACAAGGGCTGGGGTGGAGTTAGAAAGATCCCGGGAGGGGAAAGCAGTTTCCTTGAATATTGCTCAGAGACAAATTTGCATCATAATGAAAACAACTACCTCGTCAAGCATTTCTGGGAAGAAGGTCTTGATCCTCCAAGCTTCCCCTCAGGGGAAGAGAAAGGGTCTGGGGAGTCCCTGGTGTGCAATGCTAGCCGCTTTGCTCCAAGGCATGGGAGAAGAGGGTTTGGGAACAAAGAGTGCTGGTTCCGCAGCAAGGACAGCTAGGGGCTGGCGGGAAGAGGGACAGAAGAGCAGATACGTGTTTTCCACCGAAAATTTCAGTTGTGTCTCTGCCCTTTGGGATGGCATTTGGCAAGAGGGAGGCTGGGCACTTGATCTGCACACGCACAGCATTCCAAATTGTCTCTGGGATGGATGTCAGGAGAAATGCCGAGGGTTTAACCGGGCAGCATCAAGTTCTTCTATTAAGAACAAGTTAGGACTTGGGGAAACATCTCAGTAATAAAACCTTGCCTCATGAGCTTGAGGAGCCCAGTTTGATCCCTAAACCCCACCTTTAAGGAGGTGAGGCAAATGGGGTTTGTGTGCTAAGGAGGCAGACTATTTAAGCATCCCTGGGGCTCAATGGCCTGCCAACGAAGCCTCTTTGGAGAATTCAAGACCAATGAGAAGGTCTTTGGGGAGAAGGGTGTACAGAACGCAGGCAAGGACACTTGAAGCTGTCTCCTGACCCCACCCCCACATGCACATGCATAAACGCTCACACACTCACACATACACACACACTCAAAGCACAGCTTTGTGTGAGGGAGATAACCATTTGTTAAGAGACTTTCTCAGGGGAAGGTGTATGTGTATCTTTCTCTCACACACATTTGTTTTATATATAATGAGTATGTTTAATATAAATTTCATAAGTACATTATGTATCCCAACCTGAACTGGAATTATTTTTAGTGTAACAGTAGGAGTCAAAGTAGAATGCAAGCCCCATGCGTTTGCGCAAAGAAGTCTCTCTAGCAAACCACAACAGGACCACACCCACAAAGGAGACTGCAGTAGCATTTGCTGAGTAAATGAAGGAGAGGCTCACAAACTTGACCCAGGCTTTGACCTTGAGAATACAAACTCAAGAATGTACAAGCTCTGCAGAAGCTCTCTAGATCTCAGAGCTGTGGTCCAACCTTACCCTGAAATGCTTGGGAGCTTTTCCCTCAGCAGTGTTTCTGAACATGGAACCTAATAGACTAGGCGTCCCAAATCAAACTGTAGGTGAGCATTGCCAGAGGAACTTCAAAAACATTTTGGAACAGCTATGACTTACTCTAGACATTTAACTTAGAACCTTGAAGGTGGGACCTGAGCAACAGGCCAGTGACCCAGCTTCCCAGGAGATTCCAATGGCCAGCACACATGAGAACCAGTTCTTAGAACTGTGGTTTTCAGAGCGTGCTGCCTATTCACCAACAAAAGCAGTGTTACCTCAAACAGAACAGAAACCTTGCTGGAAACCAAGCTGTTTGGACAAGCTCTCTAGGTGACTGAGTCCCCACCAAACTTTGCGAACCAACAATGGCAGACCATCTGGTTCTGAAGGTCTGAAATGGGTCCTGGCATTGGCATTTCTAACAGTCTGCCAAGGGAGGTAGATGGTACTGATCTGAAAAATTCTGACAAGCCCACAGACATTTTCCTTCTGAGGATCTGCTATTTTCACTGTTGACTACGACCTCTGCAACCTGGTACCCAGTAGTAAGTGGTGGGAGAGCTTCATACAGGAAGATAATGATGGAGAAAATGAGAATATAGGAACACCCTATATTCTTATAAGAAAATACTTTGTTATGTCTTCTGTGGCACTAATAATTAACTTCTAGTACATTAATGATTGCATTGCCAAATGGTATGCTTTTAAATAAATGCTGATAAATATAACTAATTTAAGTGCAGCTGTTACTGCATTTTTGCAGTGGACGGAGGTTGATATGGAGATATACAACTGGTCAGAGTGCAAAGAACAAGTAACTGCGACCAGCTTAGTCCTCAACTACATTGGACCACCTTCTCTCAAAGCTTGGGAATGTCTCAGAAGGAAGGATAAAAAGATTGTAAGACTCAGAGACCAGGGAGGGGTGCTAGGCAACGGTGTCTTCTAGACACAACAGGGCCATCACAGCAGTAACTCACAGCAGCTGTGGCTGCCTGCAGAGGACATTCATAAGATAAAGTCAGCACCTGCATGAATGGGACAGTAGATCAAAAGGTTCCACCCAGGAGACACTGAAAGGAGATGCTTGTTGAGGGATGCAGAATCTGTTTTCTTCAGGGGTGTGGTCCTGGTAGGCTGTCTATGCTCCGGTGGATGATCATACATTCATGCCCATACAAACAGCACTGCTTGAGTTTCGAACAAATAAGAAGAGGACATGAAGTTGGACAAAGTATCTTGGGGTCTGAGAAGAGCACGGGGCAAATACAGGCGAGAGTGAGGGGTCTGTATGACTGTAAAACACTGTGTTCATGTATGAAACTCTCAAGGGTACATACATTTTTTTTAAGTAACTGTCTTTTTAAAGTAGATGGAGGCTACAGTAGAGACCTACAACTAGTCACAATGCATAGAATAATGATCATGGTATGCCTAGCCCCACTTGGTAAATTTACCATGCAGCCCCTATACTTAAGGTCCAAGGATTATTGTTGAAGAGGAGTGGTGAGATCTGAAGAGCCAGAGCACCAAGACAGGCCATCTGCTGGGAGACAGTGTCTTTTATATGTGATAGGGAAGCTGCATCCATGAACTCTCAACCATGTGGTTGAGATCATCTAAACATCACCTGCAAAATGATCACACAAGTTGACATCCCAACATGTCAGTGTAGATGGTGGGAATCTCACAAGGCCCCACCCCTAGATGAAGATCCATAGGCTGCTGAGAGGGGAGGACTCACAGGCTGCTGAGAGGGGAGGACTCACAGGCTGCTGAGAGGGGAGGCCTCACAGGGCTGCTGAGAGGGGAGGCCTCACAGGCTGCTGAGAGGGGAGGTCTCACAGGCTGCTGAGAGGGGAGGACTCACAGGCTGCTGAGAGGGGAGGTCTCACAGGCTGCTGAGAGGGGAGGACTCACAGGCTGCTGAGAGGGGAGGACTCACAGGCTGCAGAGAGGGGAGGACTCACAGGCTGCAGAGAGGGGAGGACTCACAGGCTGCTGAGAGGGGAGGACTCACAGGGCTGCTGAGAGGGGAGGCCTCACAGGGCTGCTGAGAGGGGAGGCCTCACAGGCTGCTGAGAGGGGAGGTCTCACAGGCTGCTGAGAGGGGAGGACTCACAGGCTGCTGAGAGGGGAGGCCTCACAGGGCTGCTGAGAGGGGAGGCCTCACAGGCTGCTGAGAGGGGAGGTCTCACAGGCTGCTGAGAGGGGAGGACTCACAGGCTGCTGAGAGGGGAGGTCTCACAGGCTGCTGAGAGGGGAGGACTCACAGGCTGCTGAGAGGGGAGGACTCACAGGCTGCAGAGAGGGGAGGACTCACAGACTGCAGAGAGGGGAGGACTCACAGGGCTGTGAGAGGGGAGGACTCACAGGCTGCTGAGAGGGGAGGCCTCACAGGGCTGCTGAGAGGGGAGGACTCACAGGCTGCTGAGAGGGGAGGTCTCACAGGCTGCTGAGAGGGGAGGACTCACAGGCTGCTGAGAGGGGAGGACTCACAGGCTGCAGAGAGGGGAGGACTCACAGGCTGCAGAGAGGGGAGGACTCACAGGCTGCTGAGAGAGGCAGAATCAGGTTTCTCCAAGGATGAACTCCCCAAGAGATTATCCAATCCCAAGTGGTCATCCCTAAATACATGTACATATGAACAACACTAGATGGACTTGGATATCTCTGTGTGTGTGTGTGTGTGTGTGTGTGTGTGTGTGTGTGTGTGTGTGTATAACAATTATAATTAAAGAAGAGGTCATAAATTTGAGAGGTGACACATGGGAAAAGTTGGAACATGGAGAGGGAGTGGTGGAAATAATGTAAATATAGTTCACTTATATGAAAATTTTGATAATTAAAAAATGAATTTAAAAGGGAACTAACTCAATTAATAAGCTAATTAACTAATAAAATAGAAAAATTACTCAATATTTCTGTATTTGAATGATGTGTGATCCAGGAAAGCTATGGTTTGTAAACATCTTGCATTCCTGATGATCTGTTGGACCATCTAATCTGAGAGGACTAATTCTGTTGAATGTTAACATCTATGTAGTTTCCTTAAAAGGTCCCCA